GACTTGAACCCTATTGAAAATGTATGGGCTGTATTAAAGGGAAAGGTGGAGAAAAAGATCAAGTATTTAGTAGCAAAGAAAAAAAAACATTACCTGCGATGTATTCCTTAATACAATCTGGTAGGAATAGGATGATCTTGATGACGCCATGTTACTTTGATGCATCGAGAGCATGTCAAGCTAGGTTAAAGCATGTATTAATGCTGAAGGAAGACACACCAAATATTAATTAATCATATAAAGGTTGTCATTAGTATTGTTCTTACAAATAATAAAAAAAAAATATACATTAAAATAAAGTTTGTACATATCGTTGAAATATGTTTCTATCATTCTTTTCACCGGGGACTATACATATAAAGTTGTTTAATACAATCTTTTATTAATAATAAAGGTAAGTATTATTTTATTAAATTATTTGTATGATATTATACCACTTAATAAACTAATATATTTATACAAAATAAAGATTTCAGGTTCTGATACCATTAATGATAATTTTATAAAAGATATTGTAGATAAATCACAAGTAACTTTAAAATAACTCTTAAAAGATACTCAAGATTCAATTATTGAAATGTGAAAAATTTGAAGAATTGGTGAAATTTCATGTAAAGAAAATATGGTAATCTTTTTTGCTAATGGAACTCATCTCTGCAAATGTTTGGAAACTATTACAAAAGGCATAATCTGTCATCATTTTTAACGTGTTATATTTTATTCAAATTTGACGTAATTTTACATCTAAATTATTTTTGTTAGATGGTATAACAACAATGTTTTAATCTAGATACTATTCTTAAGAATTTACCTATTCTTATAGCAGTAGAATCTTCTAATTCAACATTATTACCTCAAGTTAATTTTACACTCCAGAGTTTGCAATAATTTTAAGGATCAGATCATAATAAAATTATCATTAACAAGAATCTTTCTCAAAGGAATCGATTTGGAATTGCTTTTTCAACAGCAAAAACAGCTATTAATATTACTTTAGAAACAAATAGTGATGTTGAATTAATTAAATTATTGAAAGAATTTATTGCTGCTAAATATAATGATAATGGTGATGGTAATTATAATCATGATAGCAATAGTGATGATGATAGAGATAGGAACAGTAATGATAATGAAATAGAAATTAATAAAGAAGTTAATGATATAGTTCTATTATAAGAGCATTTTATCAATAAAATCACAAACCCAAATGTTACTAGAATTTGTGATACACCATTTAAAAAGAGAATAAAAAGTACTGTAGAATTATCAAAGAAAAGGGTAGTGATATAAGAAATTTCTTTAAATAAAAATAATAATCAACTTGCACTTGCAAAACAACAGCGTATATATCTGACATATGAAAAATTAAGATATTACCAGAAGAGATATCTAAGAAATAAGGTAATTATATGTATATTTATTTATTTATTTATGTTTATTACATTAATGGTACTTTTAATTGACATAATAATTTAATAAAAATTAGGAGATGTATGTATGATGTTAAATTTTTATTAAAATAAAGGGATTACAGAAAGAAATTAAGGGTGGTTAGGAATGGAATAAAGCAAGATAGGTTAAGTTAATTTTTTGTGATTTTTTGTGTAATTTGATTGTGATTTTATGTTTAATAAAACTTAGTATTTTTAATGATTTTTATTATTAAGTATTCATTAGAAAAAAAATAAATACTGCATATTAAGTTTCAATTTCATAAAATTTATTTTATATTTATTATACATAAAAAAAATTATTTCGTTTTAATGAATTTATTAGTGAAATCATATAATTTTGTAAATTACATAATCTGGTGATTTTCACCTTCAGTTAGTATTAAATTTACTCTTGTAAAAAATAAAAGCAAAAATAAATAAAAAGAAAAAATAGGAAAATAAAATATTAATAATAATAAAAATTAAAATAAAAAAATAAAATAAAATAAAAAATTCTGAAAAAATGAGATAGAATAATTAAATTGTAACTTAATTATACCATAAATAAATTTAATTATACTATAAGTTACAATCTTATTTTTTTAATTGTAATACTTATATTTAATACTAAATATTAGCGAAAACTCAAATTTTTTTGAATTGTTAAAATACTAATGTCCTTGTTATATAGCTTAAATACTATTTATATTAATAATAGCAAATAAATACCAATTTATAAATTATAACAAATCTATAGTTTTAATAAAATCTTTTTAATTAATAATATAAATCAATCATAAAAAATATTAATTTGTAAAATTTCTTTAATAAAAATATAATTCTATTGTAAAACTTTATAATTTTATAATAAATATAAATTTTTTTTATTATTTTACATTTATTTTGAATAGTAAGATCCAGTTTATATCAAATAATAGCTAGAGATAATTTTTTTTGAAAGTTGTTAATATATTAATATTCTCATTAACCTAAATACTATTTATAATAAATAGTAAATTTATTATTTTATATATTATTAATTAACAATTTTTTATATATTATTAATATGTAATCTTTTCAGGTTATAACTGTTAGACACAGTGTCAGAGGGTTGACTTTTTTATAGTCTACATATAATTCTTTATTAGTTTTATACTAAATCTTAGTTATTTTACTACTTGTTTATCAAGTTAAGTTAAGTTTACTAAATACGAGTAACTTTAATTACAAGTTAAGAATTATCACAGTTATTCATAAAGAGTTTTATATATGAAATAAGAAATACTTTATTGAAATAGAAGGAAAATAATGAGATAATAATATATGAAAGAAATAAGAAAATAGAAATAAGAAATAAAGATACATAAAGTGAAGAGTAGCATTGCACTATCTTTTACAAGAAAGAGAAGGTTTCTATACAGCTATCAGTCTGTCTTTTCTAACTTACAAAATGGCTTATATTTATATCTATTCTATTATATATTTTGACATATTTAATATATTAACTAAATTAATTATATTAACTATATTAACTATATCTACTATATTAACTATGTAAGACATATCTGATATGTTAGACATATTAACTATATTAAACATATTAAATATGTTTAATATGTTTGATATTTTTGACATTTGTACTTTGTTATACATTTGTAGATCCATGATTATATCCAGTTACAATATTATATTTTATAAAAAAAAAAAATACTAAAAAATAATTCCTTATAAAGAATAAGAAAATGTGATATTCAATTCAGAAAATGTATACAAAACTTATTTATAATAATGAAAAAAATATATGCAAATTTTTTATAAGAGAAGGTAAATTAATAGAATAATTTGTTCTTCATAATATGATTTGCTTTTTCTATTATAATATTTCAGTATGTAATATATTTATACTACTTGATTAACAAAATTCATTAAAACCTAGATTTTTTCTATTTTTAATACTAAGATCAATCTATATTTTCAACCTTACATAGATAATCATTAAAGTTGGGATAAATTATTTCCTCTATATTTGAATCAGGATCAAATTAATCAATCCTCCTTAAATTTCATAAGGGTTTTATCACCTCTTCTATTAATGATTACACAAAAAAACATTATTTTATAATAGCAACTAACATAATATAATTATATGATCTTTTACATGATTTTAGCAATGTTTGTCAAATTTTAAAAAATTACATAAAATATATGATTATTATTTCAACAAATAAAAAGTATCTTTATAAACAAATCCAATATAAAAATTTATTTATAATTAATACTGTAATTCAACTTTGGAAGATCTAAAATGAGGTGGAGAATATTCCAAAAAAAAAAAAGGTTCACCGAATTAAGCTGGGATAAAGCATAGAAAAATTCTTGGGTTTAGCCCTAAAATTTTTATAAGAACGGCACTTAAACAAAAATTTTATTGTTTACCATTGATCGATCTTTGGAAAATCATCAAGTTAATTTTTTTTTCCTTAAAAGAAATGTCCAATTCTAATAAGAAGACTTTCAATATGAAGCTGGAATTGGCGAAACATCAGATCCTGCGAAAGCAATGAAAGATTTATTAAGAAGACCTATCCGATCAAGAAGTATTTCGCAAGATAGATATGAGCACTGAACTTTGTAGATAGAAGCGAAAAACTTATTCGTCAAAGAAAACTAAGGGAAAGGAAAACAAATGTCTTGGACAGACCAAGTTGAAAGTAGTTTAAACGGAATTAACCGATCACGTGACAAAGACGCGAAAGATATTCCCTTCAACATGATTACTTCACCAACGCGATTTTACGCTTCAAAAACCATAAAAATTCAGATATTTTCCAATGATTTTGATTGTTAAATGACCGATCGATCTCTAGAATTCATTCTAACCTTAAATGGTAATCATGACCAGAAAATTCAACCTTCCGTATTTTGGTTGGTGATTGCATTTTTTTTTTTTTAAAAAAAAAAAAAAAAGAAAAAAAGAAAGCATTTCACCTTATTTATTATATATGGAAATTGAATGATTTTATTAATTTTATAATTCACAAGTTTTAATGTTTTACATACATATATAATGAATATATTAGAATATTTTACAATGTATTAAGTTAATTAATTATTATAACAAGAAAAAAAAAAGAAAAAATTAAATCTATTAAATTCCTCAATTTCTACAGTATTAATTTTATATTGTTTTTGATTTTTAAATAACTCAGTTATTTATTTAATTAACTCTTATGTCGTCATCACAGTTTCATTTGAATCCTCGGTTAATTCTTCAATTATTTCTTCAACTTTCTCATTTGAATTGTCGCCATCATTTGATTCCTTGATTGTGTCTTCAATTTTTTCTTCAACATTCTCATCTGAATTGTCGTTAAAATTATTGTTTGTATTATTTGAATCATCATTATTTATTTCATCCGATTTCTTAGTTTCTGACTTTTTGGAGAAAAGAACTTCGTGATTTAATGTATCATAACCCCTCCCAATAAGACTGAATAATATCGAAATACCGGCGGATATTAATGAAATCACTGGAATGGGATCATAAATAATGCTATTGTGCTGTAAATATATTACCTACAGAAATATAAATACGTCAGTTACAGAAATTTTGACATGAGGAAATAAAATGACGTGAACTCACTCTAATAATAAATTGCGGCACGTCTTCAAGGAATATATTAGCAAAACTTCCCCAAAATATTACAAGTTTGGCTTCATTTGACAGCGGTGCACTTAAATATTTCGAATCCCATATCTCTGAGGAAATTACATTCAATAATTCAACGTCAGCTGATGATAGAATTGTGAATATTGATACCAAAGGGGTATAATTCTTGAACCAAGCTCGAAATTCATCGTGATTTTGTTGTTCTTTTAATACAACATACAACGCTAAAAATGTATTAAAAGCAGTTGGCACCACTAAAAACACGATGCTAAAGAAAAAAAAATATGAAGAATAAAGTTATATTATGAATATATAAAAGTAACGTAAACATCAAAATAAAAATTTAATTAAATATTTACGATGGAATTAATAAAGAGTAAATCATCTGTGAATTGTATACAATAAATAATACATCCAATACAAAATCTGTAAGGATGAATACAAATGTAAATACAAACACGTTTCGAGCCTAAAAAATACATGGATGATTATTTAGATTTAAATTCTTATCGGAACCAAGATAAAAACTTATCAAGTCCTTACTTTTGGATTTTTACGCCATGCCAAAAAGAATAGAATGCTAACAAACAAGAACCCGGACAGAAGAAGTATTAAAGTAAACTTCAATGTATTATTCCAACCTTCAGCTAATAAAATTAAAATCATAAATTAATTGTAGGATGTGCAGGATAGTTATTTAGTTTTATCTGATTGATAACTAACCTGTCATAACAGTACCATAATTTTCGTCCAACATGCTAGAAAGAGGATATCGTGCTATAAGGGTGGAATGCTTGTTGGTGATCAAAGCGTCTAGATCACTCACGATATCCTTTGCGCAAGGTCTTGTTGATTCCGTTGGTTGGGAAATTTTGACCTGTAATAGTATGAGATTATTGGAATCTAAAGGATCATGTTGAAATTTCCCTGTAGTATCCGGCAATCTCGACCTTTCAATAGGAATGATCTCAGACAATTCATTCATCAATTCAATAAAAAATGCATCAATCTCTTTCGAGTTGAGCGTTTTAAAGTATTCCGTCCCTTTGGAATTTAATTTGAGTAATATGGTAACCGATGCTAATAATAATAAAGGAATTCAATAATCTTTCTAAATAAAAAAAAATACTATACTATCGTCACTTACATTTACATACGCTCGGTTCCTCAATCGACGCGTTTAAAAACCAAACTCTCTTGTTGATTCCCGACATAGCCTCATTATATCGCCGCGAGCTAACAAAGTCGTCATTGATTTGGACGAAATAAGTGGCATTCGGATTATTGAAAGTGCTTTTAAACACTATTATTCCAACTGTATCATTGGCAATCGTCACATAACTTGATAGACCTGAATAAGTTTGGCGTAATAATTCAGTATGATCATCAACCACCTGATAAATTGAGATGTTTCCCGATGAAGGAATTATAGGTTTATCATATTGTATGGTGATGATTTCGCCTTTGTAGCGTATAACATCGTCAGTTGGCTTCGTTTCGAGTATGTTAGGATTTCTGTGTTTGTAATCTTTATAAAATTTATTTGTAAATAAATTATAAATAATAAAATGAATAAAAATATATGAATAAATCATAAAATGAATAGCTTACTAAACTCCATTACACGTAAGGTATCTGTCATTATGGTCCAAGAGGCGGAAGTTTGTTGGAACAACACTCCCCACAATGTGTCATTGTGTTCAAGGTACGCGTAATGAATAACTTCCCCGGAAAATCCTTTCCAAACGCCTTCGAAATCACCATTTTGCGTCAACAATATACCCGTCTTTATATTATCTTTTAACGGAGCAAAGATAATCAGAAATCCACCATTAAATAAGATACTTGCGTCTAAAATCTCCCTTTTTTCAAAATCATTTCCCGAATCTATCTTCTTGTTACTTATTACAGATCCGGAAGTTAAAAAGGTTAACAAGTGCCATCTTTTAATCGTACTAACTTCGGCTTGTTTCGCCGCGGTTACTAATGTCTCCATGAGCATTAGACACTTATAACCTTCCCCATTTGAATTTCGACAACGTAAAAATTCAATTTTATACAAATTTATTTGACTTTGATAAAGCAAATAAGGAAGGCTAACTTCCGCTGCGGATTTATCTATAAAGAATGCGTAGACCTCCCAGGCTGGATCTGACGCGTACAACTGATTAAGTTTAGTCACGATAACGAGACAATTTCCGCCATCACCCGAGCTAAGCAATTTGTATGATGTAATAGTTGATGACGGATTTGGAGCATGAATGAAGCCTGTTCCTAAATTTAAAATTTGCATTGGATTTGATGGACTAAATTATAATTAAGTTTTTTATTACAATTTAAATTTATTATTATTATTCAAACTTTAAATTCTCAATTCTCGCATTCTTAAAACTTACTCCGCTATAAATCTCGACCATGCAATCGTGCTTGTATTAACTTGACGAGACCATGTAAACCCTGTCTCTTTGTTCTTGTTACGATTGATTTCTCCGATCCCGATCCCTAATGTGAAATACTGTAAAAGATTTCCGTCGAAATCGATGACCATTCCAGTGTGCATTGTCGTCGCATCGTCCTTTCCTTCAAAATACGTTATAAGGATCATGTACTCATTGATAAAATAGTTCATAAAAACATCTTGAAGCATACAGAAGTTATACGAGGGAACTCTGTGTGCAACTTTTAAAGGTTTAACCGTTCCGTTGGCGTATACGACCCGCAAGTGTATGTCAGGATCGATGCATGTTTGTTCCGGGTTATTATAATGGGCAAGCTGGATTAAAAGGGTCCCATCTGATTCAGTGAAGCTATCAAAGAAGTACAGGTCTTTAGCAGCATCCTCATAAAATGTTAACGTGTTATCATATTGTGCATTTTGCGCCGAACAAAAAGTTATAAAGCATATTAGGATAATGAAAATAATCATGGGATTATGACAGCGCAGAAGCTGATGTGATGAATTATTACACATCTTTAAATTTGATTATTTATTGATAGCATAAAAAGTCAAAATGGGATGTGTAATATATGTAATTCGAAAAAAAGGTTTATGAACTAGCATAAAAAAGTATAAGAATGTAAATCGAAAAAGAAGAGCTTATTTTGTTTTATTTGAAAAATTTTATATTAAAAATATCGTTCATTTCTAAAAAAAAATGATGATGTGACTAATTAAGCCTTGCATTAATTAGTTACTTTAATAAGCGAACTGTTTAACATTGCGAATAAACAAAAGTGATAATTGGTATTTGATATACATTTCACAACTTTTTTTATTAGTTAATTATATATATTTAACAACAACAAAGCTCGGTAAGGCCTAATAAGGCTTTTGAATTCTCCAAAGATTTTTTACAAGATGGTTAGGATAAAAAAAAAAAAAAAATTGATCGACCTCGAGCTCGGTTTCCAAACTTTTTTATTTATTGTAAAAATACTTTTTCGAATGCAAAAATATATACAGTATATTCTGTGTGGAATTTTTTTATTTTATTTATTTTTAATATGTATGATCGTCTTTATTTTTTTTAAAATAAAATAAAATAAAATTTTAATATTTATTACTAAATCTTGTGTAAATAATGACGTTTAAGAAAAAAAATTTACCTTTTCTAATATATCCTCTTATATTCAATTAATTATTATAAAAACTGTACAAAATTCTTTCTTCTAATTTAATAATTTATGCTATTTAATAAAAGTAAGTATGAAAAAAAGATAGCATGGCCGCAGGTAAAGTTTTTGTTGAAAATCGATTAAACATGGAAGCTGAAACCATTTTTTCTTGGATTCACCTCATATTATTTTTGAACATCTTCATTATGACATTGTTTATTAATTTTTTTCCAAGATTTTTATTTTCTGCAACTTCTTCTTCACCATTATAATTATTTTCCGCAGTTTCTTGATTATTCCTTGTTGTTTCAGGGAATGGAACCCTAAGAATTAATGTATCATATGCCCTTGCAATAAGACTGTATATTATCGAAATCCCGGCTGAAACCAAAGAGAGTACTGGAATTGGATCATATATGATCGAATTATATTTTAAAAATATAATCTACAAAAAAAAAAAAAAAAAAAAAAAACTTAATAGATGTTTACGAAAAAAAAAAAAGTGAAATTATCAAGCTTTGACTCACTCTGATAATAAATTGTGGAACGTGTTCAAGAAATATATTGGCAAAACTTCCCCAAAATATTGTAAATTTAGCTTCATCTGACATCGGTGCATTCAATTTGTTCAAATTCCATATATTTGAGGTGATGATGCTCAACAGTCCTACATCAGCCGATGCTAAAATTGTCAATATCGACACAAATTTTGTATTGGACATGAACCATTCCCGAAATTCATCATTTGTGGATTGTTCTTTTAAGATGATGTATAAAGTGAAGAACATGTTGAACACGGTCGGAATCGTCAAAAATAAAACACTAAAGATAAAAATAAAGATATTTTTAGAATCCATTCAATAAACGACAACAATAGCGTAATCCATTTAATTACCTGGGGATGAAAAGCGAAGAAACCATCTGAGAGTTATACATTATAAATATCATGTCTAGGATAAAGTCCGAAATTATCACCACAAACGTAAATATGAAAACATTTTGCGCCTAAATCATTATCTATGATTAATAAACAAAATCCTTTACAGAACCAAAACGCAATTCGTCAAATCCTTACCTTCGGATTTTGACATCTTGCAATCCAGTATATACCAGTAACAAACAGAAATCCGCCTACGACATATATCAAGCACAACTTCAATGTATCTCTCCATCCCTCACCTATTAAATAATATAAACAGTGATTAATTATAAATGTATTAAATTTTTCAGTTAGATGATAAAAATCACATACGTGTGACCGAAGCACCATAATTTTCGTCCAACATGCTAGATAGAGGATAATTTGATATAAGAGTGGAATACTTGTTGATGATCAATGCATCCAAATCACGTGCTACATCTTCAGCACATGAATCCGAGGTTTCCGTTGGTGGTGAAATCTTCACCTGTAAAAGGATGTAATTGTTCGGATCGTAAGGGTCATTTTGAAATTTTCCCGCATCAGCTGGAAGTCGGGATCTTCCAACGGGAATGATCTTCGAAAATTCGTTCATCAGATCATCGTAAAATTTGTCGAATTCTTTCGAGTTGAGTGAATTTAGATATTTTGTCCCCTGGGCGTTAAGCCTCACTAATACGGTGATTGGGGCTAATAATGATAAAAGAAATTCAACAACCTTTATCAGATAAAAAATTCATTCGTATGTAATCCTTTCATCACTTACACAGACATGACCCCGAGTTATCCATCGCCGTGTTTAAAAACCAAACTCTCTTGTCAATTCCCGTGATTGCCTCATCATACCGTTTTGAATTAACGAAATTGTCATTGATTTGGATAAAATAAATATCATTGGGTTTATTGAAAGTGCTTTTAAACACTTTGATTTCAACTGTATCATTGGCAATCGTCACATAATTTGACAGACCCGAATATGTTTGACGTAATAATTCACCATGATCATCAACCACCTGATAAATTGAGATATTCCCATATGACGGAATTATAGCTTTGTCATATTTTATCGTGATAGCATCCAAATCGTTCCTAACCACATTGTCTGTTGGAGTCGTTTCAAGGATAGTTGGATTATTGTGTTTATATTCTGAAGGATCATTTCATAAAATAAATAAGCAGAAATAAAGAATCAAATAATATCGACAAATAATTTGAACGGATAACTTACTTTCCACAATGCTTCTATCACGCAAAGGTTCAGTTATGATCGTCCATGAAGAAGAATCATTTTGATATAGCATACCCCACACCGTATCATTATGTTCAAGATACGCATATTGGATTACGTCCCCATTGAAACCTTTCCAATCCCCATCATATTCCCCATTTTGAGACAAGAAAATTCCCGACTTTTTATTATTTTCCGACGGATAAATAACGAGAAAACCTCCATTAAATAAAACCGAGATGCTTAAAATTTCCGTCTTAGCATCCGTACCAATGTTGACCTTCTTGTTGTTAATAACGGAACCAGTTGTCAAAAAGGTTAAAAGATAATACATTTTAGTTGTCGTTGCCTGTATCGGGGTAATCGTCTCGACTTGCATTAAACAGTTATAACCCTCTCCGTTGGAATTTCGACAAAAAATAAAATTTAAATTAAAATAATCTACTTGCGACTGGTAGATTAAATAGGTGAAGATGTTTTGAGCCTCCTCATCTAAAAAATTTGCGTAAACTTCCCAAGCTGGATCCGAGGCGATCGTCTTATTAAGTTTAGTCACGAGCACGAAACAATTGCCGCCATTACCCGAACCAAACAATTTATATGATTTAATAACTGATGATGGATTCGGTGATGTTATGAAACCCGAATTTAATTTTATAATCCGCATAGGGTTCGTTGGACTAAATCAAAAAGCAAATCATTAATTATTATATAATTGTTCAATTCTCAAATTCTAAAAACTTACTCTGGTTTATATCTTGACCATGCGATTGTGGTCTCATTTATTTGCCGAGACCAAGTAAATCCGCTTTCAGAGTTTCGCCTTCGACTAATTTTTCCAATTCCAACACCAAATTCCAGATACTGCAAAAGATTTCCATCAAAATCGATGACCATTCCTGTATGTATCGAAGTAGCTTCGTCTGCTCCATCAAAATATGTAATGAGGATCATGAACTCATTGATAAAAAAGTTCTTAAAGACGTCTTTTAAATTTTTTAAACTGCAGAAGTTTGATGCGGGAATTTGATGTGCAACTTCTAAAGGTTTGACGGTTCCATCGGGAAATACGATTCTTAAATGTATATCCGTCAAAATACATGTTGTTTGCGTCTGATTATAATAATGAGCCAGCTGAATCAGGATGGTACCATCTTTTTCAGTAAAGCTATCAAAAAAATATAAGCCCTTGGGCTTATCTTCATAATGCGTTAAATACGTACTATACTGCGCATTGCAGAATATCATAAGATATGAAGTTATTGCAAAAAGAATCGAAATAATATTCATGTTACGAAAATGTAGGGAATAACTAGAGAAATATGACTGAAAACGAAAAATAATAAAAAATCACGCAAACTAATAAAGCAGAAGAGGTGGATTCATTTATCTTAATGTATAGCGTAATTAAATAAAATTAATCATAATCAATAAAAAAAAAAAAAAAAATGCAGTAATTGAATTTTATATATATTCTTAAAAAATATATAAGTTATTATAAACTTGGAAAGTTATTTGATGTTAAAGCATTTCCCTTCTAAGAAAAAAACACATGGCTTGCCGTTAATCTCATTATATTATTACTAAATATTGTATTTGCCGATTTCGTGTCACTATAAAATTAATTAGTGCATCATTATTTTGTCGAATGTCTTTTTTTTTTTTTTTTTTGAAAGTTGTTTTATCGATCCAATCTAAATTTTATTCCTGTGTATTTGATAATAAAGCTAGCTGTAAGAACATTTTTAATTCAAGAACTTTTTTTTTTTTAGTTTGGACTTGATAATATTTGCCACTTAATGATATGGCGCAGTTTGTATATTTTGCTAATAGTATATATAATCTTATTAAAGAATGTGGATGCTTTTAAATAACGCTGCAAAATACTAATTTGTGCGCAATGTGAAAAGGTTGTGCGCACATGCACCAAAAAAATCTGGATGTCGGTAACCTCCTCAAACTTGTAACGTCTAATTTAATAATCCTTCTATGATAAAATAAAATATCATCCTTACAGCATAGATATTGAACGAAGGGGAATTGGACCGGAAAGAAATTGCAGATATGATATTACCCGCAATTGATCAATGAGCAAAGTTTTGCTCATGACCTGCACGATTTTTCAAATTTAAAGTTTCGGACAGTTTCGGACTTTAGTAGTACAGAAACTGAAATTCATGGAAAAAATGCTTCCAGTTTATTAATTTTAGTATATATCCTTCTTTTAAACTTTGATCTATTATCGTTGATTTCACGTGATTCGCGATCCTCGGAAATTAAAGTTTTTGTTATCGTTGTATCGTATGCAAGGCTGAATCGTGAATTTTTTATTGATATTTTCCGTTTCAATTTTTTAATTACAATGATAGCATATGGAACGCCTTGTATACAGATGCACATGCATGCTACATATATTATATATTTAATTGCAATTATTAGACTGGGTAAATTATTGACCATCTTTTTTTAAGTCCACAATTACTGCGCCGCTTTAAGTATTTGTCTATGATTAAACGGTTTATTTGGCAACGTGAATAAATGAATTAATGTGGAATATTGTTCCAAATTAGGAAAATATCCATCCAGTTAACAATTAATTCATTTACAATAAAAAAAAAACCTAATTTTTAGTCAGCTCAATGATTATAAAATTTTCTAATTACCTTAATTTATTTTTTTTTTAAAAAAAAAAAAAAAATAAAAAAAATAAAAAAAGTTTCTAATTGGTTGCAACATTTTGATTGGCTTTAACCTATGATACTAAATATTAAATATTCAAAATTTATTAATGTCAAGAATCGATCTTAATTACGTTTTTATTTAAGTTTATACGTAATTCGAAAGAAATTTATTGAGTTAACGGCCTCAGCACCAATAAATAAATGCTTAGCTCTATACAAAGTTTTACCAAATATTTTATAATTAAAAAATAACTAATTAATTAATTAATTAGGAAAAAATTTAACAGCTTCTAACCATAATCTGCTAGGATCTCTCGCGCTTTTCTCATCATAATATAATCTATGTTTGGCAGGTTTATAAGTATATTCTAATATATTATCTTTATTTACTATGTCATAAATCTCTTTGAACGTAAATCTTAAAATTGCAGGAAACAAAAATGGTTGAGGGATTAAATCTTTTAACGTTTCATTTTGTAATAATCCATTAAAAGTTAATTCATCGCGTATCTGATCTAAGTCAAGAACCTGACTACCGGGAAATGAAGCATAGGATAATGGCGTATCTTTGAAACCACCAACGGCAATTGTGCTCACATTAAATTTTTCGGCCATACGATGAGTAATCAATGAGCATGATGACCCACATAATCCGTTTGTTAATATAATAATATCTTCACTTTTCCATTTATATTCATTAATGTTTCCTGATAACAATTTAACAAATAGACTAAATTCTTGTATATCTCTGTCAATAAATTTCGATGTAAATGATGTAGGAGTTCCTCCTCTTATGTATGTGTGATTACCAATAAATTCCTCTACCGTGCGAAAATGATTCTCTGTATTTGGATCCTTGTAACCGTAAATGTTGAAATATGAAGTTGAGAATATGCTACGCACTGTCTTTGCGGCCCACCTTATTAAATCCTTAGCACCTAGGTCTAATGGAGGCATGGTTAATTCACCTCTTACTTGTTCAGCATTTGGTTGTGATGATGCTGCTTCGAGGGCCGCTCGTGACAATTCGCTAACCACCATATCGTTGTCGAAATCAGGACTAGAATCTGGAAACAATAAGTAAACGAAGAATAGTGCTAATTCTATGATTCCTCCTCCATTCTCATGAAAATCCAGTATGATCTATCGAAATATGCAATGCAAAGGTTACTTAAGGAATTTTTTTTTTTATAAATTTAATCTTTAAATTAATTATTACATACTTTTGTTACACCTCTATCTTCTAATAAATCAAATCCAATTTGCAATTCAAACATTTCATTTACAATTTCATCTTCTGGCGTCATGACTGTTGGAATCACCACAACCCCTGTCTTATTATCACTCAATATATAAAAAGAAGCCATTATAGTTACATGAACTAATTCAACATCACTCATTGGTTGATTATAAATTTTTGGTTCATACATTTTACTAATTTCATCAGAGAGAATTGTTGGAATCTCTTGACAAAATTCATTTCGAAAATCTTCCGATGTATTAAACCTATCATAATACAACGATCCAATCTTCCATTCTCTTACAAATTTGGTTTTTACATCATTTGCACATACAAGAGTGTACTCTATTGATGATTTCTCTGGAAGTAAGCTGTAACCTATTCTTGACGTGAATATGCTTGCAGAGATGATCCTGTCACCGTTATTATTATTTTTTAATGCTACTAGTGCTTCATTGAATCTCACACCTGCATCTTTTGAAAGATTGATCACTGTATCCGCAAATTCTTTTATAACTTCCATTGAAGGTCTTCCATCAATGTGTGTCACCTCACAATCAATGTGGCTATTATCTATTTCATCATCGAATATCTTGATGATTTGCTCATCATCATTGTTAATTACTGAATATAATAAAAGTTGCTAACTATAATCGAAAGCCGTCATGTAACATAATGGATAAAATTCCGTGTGAACATCTTTCAATTCATCTATTAATGATTTTACTTTTGACTGAAATAATTATTAAGGAAAATTGAAAATTATTTTTCAAAAAAAAAATACGCGCGAAAAAAAAAATAATGCTAAAAGAGATTATTTATTAACCATGAATTGATACTCCAATGTATAATTCTTTAACAATAGTGCATCCAGTTCCTTAATCAAATCAACTGCTCTAAATGAATATCCTTGTTGAGGTTCTTCTTTAGCCTTTGATAAATAAACAAAAAATCCTTGAAACGTTTTCTTTATCGTTTCGATCGTCTGCAAAGAAATCACAAAAAAAAAAAAATAATAATTATCAGTGCACCATCCCTCTTTCAAAAGATTACGATGCGTATTTATTTACATACGCTTTCGGCTATCTCTCTATCATAAGGAAACGATTCAAGGCATGCTTTCACATCGGAATAATTTGCGCTAAATTCTGGTTCTTTGTTATTCTCGCACACATGCATCTTCATTCTTTGTGTCGAGTGAATTAGCTGATGATAATGCGATCAACACGAAAATTAATGTGTGTAACAATAATTTCTTTTATTGTTATTTAATAAATAGAACATAAAAAATTTGGGCGATGACAAAAGTTCATTCAATTTATAGCTTTTTTCTTGAAATCGAATATTTATTCCTTAATATGTTTTACAATATTCGAAATTATTCAAATGAACCTTCAAAAAAAATGGATTAGTTTTAAGAAAGGAAGAAGCCACGGGTGGCTAGAGAAAAAAAGCTAATTCATAGGCACTGTACTATCTAATAAATGAGGAACTTTAATTCTGCTCAGGTGCGCAGCAACTACAACGGGCCGTATATTAATTAAAAATTTTGCTTAGATCCAGCCCAAAGCAAGCCTTTTTGCTGAAAATCATGTTTACATATCTCAGCCACTACGGGATGAAGCAAATTTCTACAAGAGATTATAGTAACTTAGAACATGCTTCGGATATTGAAGGACTCAAATTATGAAAAGATCAAAGCAATAGACAATACAATATACGTTGGGAAATCTGCTTATTTAGATGGTCTTTCATTAGCAAGACATTTTAAAGAGAAGAGGTTTGATGTTATGTAATTACAAAATTCTAGGTGGCTGCGTAATGGACAGTCGAAAAGTCATTGAAGAAAAGTCAAAAAATTCTTAATAAATTGTTTCTTGATTAATTAAATAATTAGCGGGTATAATTAATCAAAACCATATGACCCTATATTTATTATTATTGGTTCGTCGCCGCTAGGTATGGTTATTGTATTGCTTTCTTAATATTTAGTTGTGATATATCCTTATTAAGTTATAAATAAAATGGTTGATATTTGTATTATTGCATTTATGAAAATGTCTAATTATTTGTTTGTGAAGAGATCTGAAGAGATCTGATGACACCATTCAGTGCCTACAAAATTTGATTTTCCTTTTGTGAAAAAAAAGAAAGAAAAGTAAATCTTTTTTTTTTGTATCTGTAAAAAAATGAGATATTGTTTAAATAAATAATTATTAAATTATTTTTTTATTAATTAAATAAATATATATTACACAAAATACATGTGCACAATAATTAAAATTTAAAAGACTGCTTATGCCAGCCACCATGACGAAGGGTCCGTCCGAAGTGCCGCGCCCACATACGCCTCAATGTCCCTAACCTACAAAATCGAAAAAAAAGGTGATTAATAATCAAAAAAAAAATGAGTGAAATAATAAACAATAGAAACAATATTAAGCAAAAATGAGTATGATTAAATTTTTAGGTTCCAAAATTAACTATACTCAATTATGAAAATTTGCTCGACATGATTATATATTAAAATATTTGATAAACCAAAAAAAAGGTAGAGTTGACGAAAAAATTATTTTAGTTTGATATTTTCTACTCGTTCAGTTTAATAAGACTAGGGAACGGAAACCGTTCTGGTCAGAAACATAATTTCGATAATAACATGGGTAACAATATTTACGTAACACAAAATTGGTAAGAAACAAATCCACAAATTTCATGTGAAGTAAGTATAGAGTTAGAATTTTCTTTATTACTTGATTTTAATCTATTTTTTTTTGAATGTTGTGACGCAGAAATTTTAATGATCATATATCTAATATATCCACTAGGCTAAATTTAAAAATTTCAGATCAAATAATTTATTAAGTAGTTCAGGTAACTTGAACTTTGCAACTTAACAGCAAATT